GGAGTTTCGCCTTGTTACCCAGGCTGGAGTGCAATGGCGTGATCTCGGCTCACCGCAACCTCTGCTTCCTGGGTTCAAGCAATTCTCCTGTCTCAGCCTCCTGAGTAGCTGGGATTATAGGTACGTGCCACCATGCCCAGCTAATTTTTTGTATTTTTAGTAGAGATGGGGTTTCACCATGTTGACCAGGATGGTCTCGATCTCTTGACCTCGTGATCCACCATCCTTGGCCTCCCAAAGTGCTGGGATTACAGGCGCGAGCCACCGTGCCTGGCCAAAGACAGCTGGTTCTATCTCAACTTTGGTATGAACTCCAGTGGGGGCTGGTTGGGTTCTGCTCGGGGGTGGTTAGGCCCCCCAAGTGGCTTGTTCAGGTTTGGCTAGCCAAGCCTCCTGACTTCTAAGGTCTGAAGGAACAGTGGGTTTGGGGAACCCTTACTCCAAAAAAAAAGGAAGAAAGGCAGCAATGAAGCCCAGAGTTTAGGCTATTCTGGCCTGGGATCTGCCAAGGTTGGAGGGCTGGAGAAGAGGGAGGAGGAAACCATCCTAGCCAGCCTGGGGCCTCAGCACCTTCACCTGAACCCCAAACCTGGGAAGGCAAGGACTGGAAAGGATTTGGCTATCAGGGCTTTAGACAAACTTTGGTTCTTTCTCTCTGCCCCTAGTACTAGGAAGGGCCTATCCTATCCTTGGGTGCCAGATAATTCAAGTAGAGCCCCTCTCTCCAGTGGAACTCTGGGAATGGTTGGTCATGGGTACTGGGACCCTGCAGGCCACCACAATGAGTCCTTATACTTCATCTAGCAAGACCAACCCCAAAAAGGAAGTCGGAGAGCTACTCTGGCATCTATGAATTGTCAGTGAGGTCTGAAGAGTGATGCTGCTTGTTTCTTTTTTTTGAGATAGGGTCTCACTCTGTTGGCCAGGGTGGAGTGCAGTGGTGTGATCATGGCTCACTGTACTCACTATCGTCTTAACCTCCCAAGCTCAAGCGCCTGGCTAATTTCTTTTTTTTTTTTAATTTTTGTATTTTTAGTAGAGATGGGTTTCACCATGTTGGCCAGGCTGGTCTTGAACTCCTGACCTCAGGTGATCTGTCTGCCTTGGTCTCCCAAAGTGCTGGGATGACAGGGGTGGAAGAAGGCACCACGCCTGGCAAATTTTTTTTTTTTTGGAGACAGAGTCTCCCTCTGTCACCAGGCGCCAGGCTGGAATGCAGTGGCACGATCTCGGCTCACTGCAATCTCTGCCTCCCAGGTTCAAGCAATTCTCCTGCCTCAGCCTCCTGAGTAGCTGGGACTACAGGTGCACACCATCACACCTAGCTAATTTTTGTACTTTTAGTAGAGACAGGGTTTCACCATGTTGACCAGGATGGTCTCAATCTCTTGACCTCGTGATCCGCCCACCTCGGTCTCCCAAAATGCTGGGATTACAGGTGTGAGCCACCGTGCCTGGCCGCATTTTTTTTTTTTTTTTGAGATAAAGTCTTTTGCTATGTTACCCAAGCTGGAGTGCAGTGTCGTGATCTCAGCTCACTACAACCTCCCATCTTCAAGAAATTCTGCCCCAGTCTCCCAAGTAGTTGGGATTATAGGCGCTGGCCATCATGCCTGGCTAATTTTTGTATTTTAGTAGAGACAGGGTTTCACCATGTTGGCCAGGCTGGTCTCAAGCTCCTGGCCTCAGGTGATCCACCTGCCTTGGCCTCCCAAAGTGCTGGGATTACAGGTGCAAGCCACTGTGCCTTGTCAAATTTTTTTTTTTTTTTTTTTTTT